GGTTTATATAATTTATTACATATAAGAGTTTGATTTAAGTTTAAAAGTGTTAACCTGATGTTGGATCACGCAAAACGAAAACTAGCGTTCAAATCTTTCAACGAATTTTAGCGGTAAAAAAATGGAAACTACTCTTGTGTATTCATATTTACATACAACGTCGCACCAATGCTAAATGACCTAATTAAAAATTATAAAATTTTACAGAATTTTTATAAAAGTGGAAATCATTTTTAAAGAAACTCCATCAACCTCAAATTTAGGCTACCAAATTACCGTAGTTTTTATCAACCGGAGGTAGCCACCATATTTTAAAATATATTCCGCTGCTTCTTTACCAGCGATTGTAATTCCAGCCAAGGATGTGAGTATATATTCCGACAGGCAAGCGGTAATTAAGTCACTCGCCTCTTTAATGGTATGCCGCTGGGTAAAGAGTGTGTAGCCAGTTGTGTGCTTATGGAAAGATGGGCGGCTAGTCAATTCACCGAGCGCTAAGCTAAAACTTTAGTATTTACCTCTGACCGCGGATAGATCGGAGGCCGTCTCAGGATCTCTTAAAGCTAAATAAAGCGCATCTCTAGAGAGGGAGAGATTTACTGGCAATTGTCCTAAAGGTTGAACAGAACGAAAAATTACACTGAAGATGGCACAATGCCGAAACCGGTTTGTCTGCAAACCAAACTTGACAAGGGATGACGGTAATTCGTTCCAAAATAAATCGTTGAACATTACCTTAAGCCCGTACTGTAACAGCTGCATGGAAAACGATGAGGTAATCACTTCACCACCTGTTCCATGGTTGTCCTGCACATGCGATTTTAAAGTTTAAACATCTTGGCGCTCACTTCATTTACACTTCTGATAAAGTTTTGGGAATAGCTATTAGTCGTTAGCGGAGCTTTATTTGGAACACGCAGCGTTCGCCCTACTTTGCCATTACAATTTCATTCTTCTCCAACCCTTTAATGGCGTAACAAATCACAGTTTTAATTTCCAAGTTCTCTGTGTATACTTTATTATTTTAGGCAGCCAAATAACTTAAACTAACCTACATGTATTTGATGAACACAATCTGCGATTGATGTACACTGGAATACTCTAGGAAAGCCTCCTTAACCCTTATTGTACCAAGGAAAACATGGGGTCTAAAAAGTTACTAAACTTAATAGGAAATCGCGTGAGGTTTTAAGAGTTTTCTCTTATATATATATAATATATAATAAGCTAATAGCTCTCTTTATTAGCAATTTAAGAGAATTGACCGAAAGTTAAAAAGAAAAGAATTATTGGTTTTTGACATCAAATACGTTTATTTAATCTCTAACAAAGGCTTAAGAAACTGAAAGGGTTTTTTTGAATTAATCACAAATATTAAAACATGGTACATTTTTGGATATTTTTACAATACACAAAGAATATAACTATAGGATTCGAAAGAAATCGTTAGCGTTTAATGTCGTTTACTTTTTACTTTTCTTAAATCGTACATAACAGTTAAAACGCGTCTAGGGTACGCGCAGGCACTTAACCCTTACGACATCTTGTGAATCCCCTAAATATATACATATGTATACTCAAATAAATACAATTCCGTATTCAGTTTTGAAATTCGTGTATATTTTTGCTAAGCTTCGGTTTTCGTAATGAAAGACTAAATGTTTTCGTCAGTCATTAAAGCGTGCTCAATCCAGCGTGGTGAATTATTGTATATGTAATACAGTACGATATATGTACACTGCCGGAAAAAAGTAGAAAAAAGTATTTTTTTCAGGTAATTTTTTATAAAAGTATGGTTCAATCTACAACAAAAACATAAAAATAAAGTTTCTAAACTTTGCGCAAAACTGGCGAAAATTCAATAAATTTTCATGCAAATTTTTAACTTTTTAATATTCTCTAAATCTCCATCTTCCATCTAATATAAAAAATGCAAGTTTAAAATTAGTTAAAAATCGCATTGATTTTTCAGATTTTTTTTGTTGAAGATGTTTCGCATTTTTTCCATACAAAGTATTTTCGAAAATTGTTGTTTGCATGGAAGAAACGGCGTGAAAAAAATGCAATAAATCAACGGTAAATCCTAGCTACAAGTTTGAGTGTACTGTATTAAAAATTCTAAAAAATCTTATTGAATAGTTGAAAATTTATTGAATTTTCGCCAGTTTTGCACAGAGTTTAGAAACTATATTTTTATGTTTTTTGTTGTAGCATGAATTTTCGGAAAAAATTAGAAGACAAATTGTGACATATGTATATTGTGAAAAATTCTCTGTGCCAATACTTTTTTACGGCAGTGTATGTTTTGGAAGCACGCTACATGGGGACACAGACTGTACAGGGCATTGTATTGCGTTATATCGTGTCGCGCCGTTTTGAGCAGGCATTAAAGTTTGCGCCTGGTTAGTAAAAGTTAAAAATATTTTCGTGTACTGTGTATTAAGGCCGTGTCAGATAAAATTTTTCGCTTCGATTGACAGCAAAACGCAAAACGTTAGTATTTAAGTACAAATTAAACCAGCTGATTGCCAACGCGCGTATAAAGAAGGGAGTTGGCTATATTTTCGCTTGGCGTTTCATGCATTTTCCTACATTTCATCTTACCTGTCAAAGCAAATCTTATCTGACATGGCCTTTAATGTTTTATTTTCTAAGGAAAGGTTTGCCTGATATTTTTTCATATGTAAGTGATTTTTCGGAGATTCTTATAAATTTTTGAAATTTTTCATGTGTAATTTTTGGGGCTTTTCTGAATTTAGTCGTGTTTCGTACTTCTGAATTCTTCTGGATGTTTTCGGGATTTCTTCCAGACTTTGAGGGATTTTCGCGGGATGTTTCTGGATTTTTTTTTATCATTTGCGATCTTTCGGGACTTTTCGAGATTTGGTTGGGACTTTAATGACACTTTTCGGAAAATTTTCGTGACCTTTCGGGAAATTTCAAGTGCAAAAGTAGCTCTAAGTGACTATGAAAGCTTGAAAAAACCAAAAAGTACCGGCTATTTTTTGCTCAAAACAATATCAGTCAAATTTTGGCTCTTACACCCGTATGTTGTAATCCGAATCTTCGTAGTTACGAATTCGTAGTTCCGTTCCGAAGAATCGAAAATTGGTATGCTGTAATCCGACCGAAACTACCAACGGCACTGCCAGCTAAAAGCGTGAAATTTTAAGTTCTTAATCAGCGGCTTTGACAGAAACAAATCTAAATAAATATAATCGCAAGTGAATAGTGAAATTAAAAAAATTTTTTTAGTCGTTAGCCGCAGCAATTTGATCTCAGGCGGAAGAACATGCTGCAGCTAATAGCCCGAGCACAATGAAAACGACGAGCTACAGACCACAGCTGTCAGATTATTTTAACACGTACTCTTATGCAAATAATAATTTTTGCGACGACCCGGCTACGCGACGGCTGTGGTTGTGGCCAGATTAGATCTATTTCTATTTTGCCCGCGACAGATAAGGTTCTTCCTCTTCTTTTATGTCAAATTCATACAAATTCATGATGTCGCTGTCGCGTTCAAAAAAAAAACATGTCGTCATCGACAAAGCATTTAGATAATGAAGATAACAAATAGGAAGCTGTGGCCCGCAGCTCGTCGTTTTCAATGTGTTCAGAACTTAACAGTTGCATTCAAGAATGATGGAATACATACTCTACATCGTGAGTTGCATTAATATACAAAGGAGATTGCTAGTAGTCCTGATCCATTTAGCTTGTGAAAAATTTTCGCCTATACAAAAATGCATTTAAAAGCGTTTTAATAGTTATGGAGGAAGAGCTTGGGCGAAGTGTAAAATCATCATCGGTTGATGGGGAAAGATTTTGTTGTGGGGTTGGCGCAATCTACGTTCTCAAAAACATTGACGAAAACTTTAAACTCATGTATTTTTCGTATTGCGACCGATTTGTTGTGATCTTCGACCTGATATGTTCGAAATATTCAATAATAATCCAATTTGATTCTATTTACTCTTTAACTTACATATTTTTGCGTTAACACACTTTATTTTATTGATATTTCAAAACAATTTGCTTAGGTCCGACACTAGTTGCTCTTCGTACAAAATTTCCGACAAATACATAAAATTGACAGCTACGTCGGATTCAGGCATACCAATACGATACGACAACGCGGATTTCAGCATACCAATTTTACGATTCGTAGCAAAATCGAACCTACGACAGATTACAGTATAGGGGTGATATTTTTGCCTTAGGAATAAACCACAAAATTTAGATTAGGTTTTTTGGTTTTTAGTATAAAATTAACAGTCCTATTCCTACGTCAATAACAAAACTCAAGGCCTGTCTTTACTACTGCGCCTAATAATATGTCGCAAATTTATTTTAAGCGCGACAACGACGTAACAATGTTTATATATATTGTGTTTTAGGCGCAGTAATTATGACAATAGTCATACGATGAATTTTGTCAGTGATGTGGGAATAGGGTTGTAATTCTTGGTACGGTTTTGCCATGAAGTTTTATAATTTTGTAGCATACTTTAAGGCGCACTATTAGAAAAATTAGTTTCTTGAAATGATTCGTGGTTCGTAATTACGCGGCTAAAATAATCCCTTAACTTCATAGTAGATGCTATTTTAGAAAAAACATGTCTAAAGCCTTTCGCTTGTTAATAAAAAAAAAACTTGAAATAAAAATTTTGCCCGCTTGTAATTTTGTGATCATCAAAATGTTCTCAACTCGATTTCTCGGAATATTGCAGCGAAAAATTTAATTATGCATGAGTTTAAGAGATTTATTGTTGCCGAAATGCATGCACATATGGACATTGTTTATATGTATGTATGAACATATGTATATCTAAATGCATACATAGAAACAATATGTGTGAATCGTAATTATACAATAATACTTATATAGTAAATAGGAACCTTGAATGAATAATTTCGTCAAATGCGACTCAAAACATTTTCTATTCACATACATACATACTTACATATTCAGCTAAATTTATTCCAAACTCAAAAAACTAAGAAAAAATATCAATTAGATACAACAAGTAATTTTGTTCGTCTGTATCCATATGTGTGAGACAAACATTTGACCATAAATTATACATTTTCGCTTACAAATACAGTACATGGGGTTATACATATGTATGCATTTAAACTAATACTATACATATACACATTTAAAAATACACATTTGGAGCATGTAATTTTTTTTAAATAATTATAATTAGATTATGGCTTTGTCTGTTGTCTGTATTGATATGGTCATGAGATAGATATTTTTGTAAACTATTTAAATGCTACAATACATTACTACGCATACAATACCTACTTACATAATTTCTACTATAAAATATGTATATACACTTATGTATGTATTTATCTTAAGTACTCGTACATTCAAGATGAATATGTTTAAAGTAGCTCCGTGCAATGCGAATACGTTTCGAACGCGGACATTTTACAAATCGGTTTCTCGCAAAAGTGCCAAATCCTGGGCAGCTCGCGCCGGCATTCGTGTAGCGCTTGTGATGCACGGTCGGCATATTTCAGCGACGAGTATTGCTGCTGTAGACACGGCAGGCTGGGTGCGTGCATTTCTCGATATAACATTTTTCGCGTCATATCTCGGTAATCGTTGGATCATTCCTGCTTACCGCTAATACAGTGCGGCGATAGCGAGCTGATAGAGCTGCCACACATCGAAGAGGCCTCGTGGCTGTTCGACATGCTGAGCGCTTGCGCTGGAAAGCCGAATATATGGCTGCTGAGCGGCGTACCCGTTGGGCTGTCCAGATCCATGGCGGGATTGATGCGTTTCTCCTTCTGCCGCCGATTGCAGAACCACACGCGCACCACTTCCTTGTCCATATTCAGCCTTTCCGCCAAATTGTTTATATCCTCCGAGGTGGGTTTGCAGTTGACCATGAACGCCTTTTCGAGCGAGCTGCGCACGTTCGTTTCGATGGAGGTGCGTTTCTTGCGACGGCGTCCGATTATATTTTCCGGTGTGGTGAGCGTTGTGGTCATCGAGCTGAGCGAGAAAACGCCGCCTGTCTTTGTGATTGTATTGTCGGCATCCTCCAGCCACTTTTGCAGCAGCGGTTTCAGCTTACACATGTTTTTGAAGCTGAGGTTGAGCGCCTCAAATCGGGAGATTGTGGTTTGCGAGAAATCATTGCCGTAAAGCTTGCCCATGGCTAAACCGACATCGCCTTGCGTGAAGCCGAGTTTTATGCGGCGTTGCTTAAACGTTTTGGCAAACTGCTCCAATTCTTCGAGGTCGGTCGTCTCTTCGGGCGATTGGTCGAGACTGCGAGCGGCGGCGGCGGCGGATAGCGCATTCGCTCCTAAAGCTTTGCAGTTTTGTGGCGTACTACTGAAACTCATGGCTGTGGAGCCGGGCAGCGAACTGGGGAATATGGAAGACATGCCGGGTGTGTTTGGCGTTAAAATGGCGCTGCCCATTTGCAGACCGACGGCCGAATTGGGTGGTGTGGTCTGTTGTGAAGTATTTTCGCCACTCTCTTGTTCATCGTGCGTGTGATTGTAGGCTTTGGAGTGGTTATGCCGACATACTGGACTCAGCGAGGGACTGCGCAGTGGTGATGATGCCAAAGGTGTGGAAAAGTGCTTTGATTCCCTGACTGGCGTGCCATGCGGTTTACGGCCCGCCGTCTGTTCATCACCTTCGAAACGCTGCTGGAGTTCTTGTTGCAACTGTTGCTGCTGCTTCAATTGTTGCAATGCTTGAAACTGCGCCATTGCTTGCAGCGAGTTTTGTAGCAGAAAATGTGATGAAGTGGGATTTTGAAAGTTATCCGGCGTTACCTGGCGCATCATCTCAACATAACTTTGCAGCTGCAGCTGGAAAGCTTGCTGGATCTCAGTGGCGCCAAGGCTGGGGGACGCAATACCAAGATGATTTTGCAGCAGTAACGGTGCGAGTGGACCCTGGAGTGCAGCAAATAGGTTGGAGGTACTCTCGGACAGCTGTGGATGCTGATTTTCAGCGTTCCTCGCGGCAAAGTTTTCTGGCGTTGCGGAGCGGCTTGGCGAACGCGTTGGCTTCTTTGGTGATTGACGTGCTAGGTTGAGTACTTCGCCTGCCGCTGCATCAACCTCCAGCCGACGCTTTTTACCCCCGCTCTTCGTTGGCAGCACACATCGCTTCAATTGCTCCCCACATTCGGTATCTTCGCGACACTCACTTGTTTTCCCTGCAAAGAAACAGCGTATAGATAAAAATTACAAGAAGTCAGTTATGTGAAGAAATAAATATTTTGGTTTTCAATTTTCCAATTCAATGGAGCTACTGTTGCTCATTGCTTTCAACCCAGATGCTTCAAACTCTCAAACTCAACTCAACCCCTTCACGAGCAGAAACCACAAAGCTAACGGACAGCGCCGCCTCCAGCACACTTACACATACATACATACATACTTGCGCATAAGCGTGGAACTTCAACTGGAGCATAATTCAATTTGACCATAGGACAAATTGAATATTCCAAAGATGTTTAACACTGGCTCAATGGAGCAACGGAAAAAGGTTCTTGTCTTTCATCAATTTTCAATATTTTTTCAAGGAGGCAAATTTTATTCAAACTTCCGAGTGAGTGCTTACGGAATATTGCCCTAGCTACAATGTGCCCTTCGAACAGCCTACTTGGTCTTGAATGGCGCGCGCATTTGGGTTTGTGATAACTGCTTTACAGGGGTCTTCTTCACAGGTTTTTTTTTTGATAGTTGTGCGGACATGCAGCACCCAATTCTGTCAGATACCAAACAGCAAAAAAAAAGAAGAGAAAATAATTTATTCCTTGTGTGGGCTGACTTATGTTGGCTAATTTTAAGGCATTTAGAAAATTCGCTCATGTATAATAATTGCCAATTTATGTGTGTGTATGATGACCTAGCGCTATCGGTATTTGTAGCTGCACATTCGCCGGTTGCGTTGTCTAGTTGGCCGTTGGGCGGGTGATTCCTTTCGCAAGCTTTAGCGATTTGATGCGCTAGAATTTCAATTTTCAACAAGTTTTGATTTACCTACAGTGGGTTGCACATTTGGGTATTTCTCGTTGTAAATATATTCGCAAGAATGTTCGCGTGTGGGAACATAAGGGAAATTAAATTATTTTATAAAAATTACACAGTGCTACAGAAAAAAGTCATGAAATACACCCGAAACAAAAATTAGTGTAGTTTGAAGCTATGGTCGAGTACAATATGAAAATAGGTTCCGTAAATTCCTGAACCTTCCCTTTTTTTCAAAACAACCGTTATGTTCGTACTTTTTACACTTATCTATTAACAGCTTGAATATTTTTCATTTGATTTTAAAATCCGAACATGTTTTGAAAAGAGGATTGATGGACTTTTGAAATGATTTAAAACATTTCCTCTATAAAAAATATATTTCTTTGAAAGTATCACATGCTTTAGCTACCAATGTTTAAATTAGTATAAATCAAAAGTTAATTTTTTATTAGTGAGATATTCGCTTTATTTCTCGCATCTCACCATTTCAAAATCTTAATAGAAAAAACTCTTTCTGTGAATGCCGAAGTTGCAGGAATAGAAAGCATAAGCGAAATAATTTTTAGTAAATTTGGTAAATCTTTCTCAGTATTTTTAAAAATGTTGCCATTTTTGATCTGTGGACTCTTTGTTTTAAAGTATATTTTTTAAATATTAATATTTCAGTATAAATGTCATCCATTTTAAAACATTTCTTTCTTACAAATGACTGAAATATATTTATATTTATAATTGAAGAAATATAGTATTTTTGCATACTATATTTTTTTGAAACAATATATAGTACGCAGACCCAAAAAATAGTACAATACTATATATTATAGTATGGTTGGCAACCCTTGTGCTGACACTTTTTTCCAAGGTTTAACGTATCATTTTTGTTGTTATTTAATTTTGGTAAATTTTTTTTTTTAACAAACCCCGTGTAAATACAAGTTACCAACTTTGTGCAATATTAAAAAAATTCAACAAACTTTTGTACAAATTTCAAGCTTTTTTAAAAATTCTAAAAATTCCACCGTAATTTTTAGCCATTTGAAACTTGCACGCCACAAATCGGAGGAGAAGCTCGGCCAATCTATTATTATTATATAGAGAAATATTTGGGTATTCACACAATTGGGAAACGATTCGCACCAAATTTGGGCAAATTCCCAATCGTGTGACACTGCCTTTAAACTTGTATTAATATGGATGTTGGTAAAGAATGAACTATAAAAAACTAAACAAAATTAAATAACAACCAAAGAAATATTTTAAAACTTGTCAAAATTTGGTGCGGCTATCATTTTTTCGACTACTGTACATAAGTTGACTATGGTTACTCGGCCGTGCAATCATAGTAGCACAATGCCACTAATATTTGACTTACAAACAAAATACGGGCCGGAATTTCAAAATTTTAACCCTGTTTGTGTGAAATAATTTATTTTTATCAGTATTTTTCTTTTAATCAATCTATGTTGAAAAGGCGCCATCGGAGGTGTTCATTTTGTGCTTTACTAGTAGATGACATTGGTCATGATGATAATTTTTGATACTAAAAGCTGAAAGAAAACATAGATTACCTTGTAAGGTGCTTACTTATTTTCCCAGGTTGCTAAAAAGTTCGTTAATTTTTTTGATTTTTGTTACTTCGTGTTATTTGTATTAAATTGAAACACCTTTTTTAATTACAAAAATGTTAAAATTAATGAAAACGTTTTCAAAGAAATAGGAACTAAGAGTGGGAGGCCAAAAGTGTGTCAAAGGAAGGTCAAACATAGTTTTAGTTGACCTTCAACCTTCATTCTTTGGAACATGGGTTGCAAATGAAAGAAACGTTCTGCATATTGTACCTACTTTCTAAACGATGACTCCAAATTTTTATTTTATAAAAAATCTGTTAATATTAATATGAACGCTATATTTGAAATCAGTAGATTTCGACCGATTCCAATTTTTTTTAAGGTACCAATGCCGATGCCGATTCCGATACCGATTCCATAAAAAATTACTAATAAATGTATTAATTTATAAAATCAGTTAATTTAAACGGAGTTAACAAAACAAAAGAAAAAAATAATAATTTAATTAATTGGCTTGTTATGCTACATTTCATACACATGTATGTACATATATATACATATATGTATATTAGCGTGGGCCGAAAATCCGCTTTTTTAGAATTTTGATTGGTAATAGCAAAAATATGGTTCATTATGCTCTAAAAAATATCTGTGTGAAATGTGAAAGTTTTTGGTCAATATCCTAGGCTCGCCCAAGTCCATCAAAGTTCAAGTACTAAAAAAATTTTTTTTTTAGCTAACTTCGATTCTCTACAAAAAAGGTAAAGTTTATTGCAATTTTAGTAAAAAAATTTATTACTTAATTTATTAGTTAATTTTTATTTTTTGGCCATATTGAACTTTGATTGGGCGAGCCTAAGATATTGACCGAAAATTGTCATATTTCACACAGATTGTTTTTAGAGCATAGTGAACCATAGTTTTGCTATTACCAATCAAAATTCTAAAAAAGCAGATTTCCGGCCCACGCTAATGTATATGTAAAAATATATGTACAAATATCACATTTATGTATGTACATTACATAAAACACTTTTTTATATGGTGCTAAGCAAGAAATATTTAAAGCGAAAGTACACAACGTCCATTGCGTCACCGACCCCGTCAGTCACCCTCATTACCAGCGTCAACGGTGCTTATGCGGCGTAAAATCAAAAACTCACTGTTGCTCTTTGCAAAAATTACGTTTTTACTTTTCTTTCATCCTATTTTACATTTCTTATTTAAATAAATTCAAAAATTTTGACAAACTGAAAAATTTTTGGTTCAAATATGTAAACAAAACACAGAATAGTTGGCACTTGACGCAGACGCATAAGCAAAGCTGAAAGTTTAGCTAATTTGTGCGCCACCGTCACCGTCGGTTTTGTTCATGTAACTTCCTTCATACAAATACACCAGTTCAACTATTTTGATAACTGACGGTGACGGTGACGCAATGGACGCTATGTACTTTCACTTTTAGGAAAATAAAATTTAATTTCGTTTTGTACCAAAATACACTATTTTGCATTCAATGCATAAGAACTTATATGCTAGGTATGTTAGAAAATTTCTGCTTATTTTCACCAAAATTTCAAACTTTTTAATCAGAATTTTGGTATGCAGTTTTGTAGACCATTTAATTCTAGTATAATGAAGTGCAAGTTTCAAACTGCTATAAGATCCCGTTAATTTTTTGCAATTTTTTTTCCTTTCAGTGTTCTCCATATAAAAGAAAATTTTCGAACATACAATTTCGAGTATGGAAAAACGTGAAACGCCTTCAACCAAAAAAAAAAAAAACATTTTTGTGAGCTGTCTGCAAATGTTTTATAATGCTGGCTGTCGGTTCCAAAGATTCGGTAAAGAATCGGAGAAAAAACGCCGATGCCGATGCCGATGCCGGTGCTCAATTCTGTGCCGATACTAGCCGATGCCGATGCCGATTAATTGGTCGGACTCTAGAAATCAGCATAAAGGGATGCCCGAAGGAATTAAGCCATAGAAATCAGTAAGGAAAATATGGCCTTAAACAATACAAGTGACTATAAATCGTTCCAATTGTTTTTATTCATACGCATACATATATATGCATCTAAATAGTAGATATAGTATACCATGTGCATTAGGGTGGTTCAAAATTTTTTCCCAGCCCAGAACTGAAGATTATTTTTGATAAAAATAAGATAATTATTTTGATTAAAAGATAAGAAGAATCGGTTAAAATATAACCGTACCGCCAGGGCTTTGAAGTTTTCCATATATTTCATATCGGGAAATGGCAGTGGACGCTCAGAATTCTTAAGTAATTTGTTCTTGAAATAATTAAGATTCTGGACGGCTTTCAAAATTTAATTGTCATGTATTACATATGTATGTGCAGGGCTACCAAGAGAAAGTCCGGACCCGGTACTAAATATGTCCCGGAACCCTCACGACTCCAAATATTTTTGTTTAAATTAATTTAAAAAAAAGTGTATCAACTTATCATATTTTTTATCTTCGAACCTTTTTTCCGAAAAATCCGGCCACTGAAAGCTCCGGGCCCGTATCCTTTCAATAGTGTTAAGAAAATTTAAGTCAAATCTTAAGAGTTTAGAAAATTACACGTAAAGAAAGATTTGCTGAAG